TTCTGTTTAATGGATTTCGAAAAATACTTTCGCTTTGCAGATCCTTTACGTATTAGTAAATATATTAGTAAATATATATAATAAATATAAATATTCTATTTGACATAATCGGAAGTTCAAGCTTACTTTTATAAAATTGCTCTAACAGTCTGCAAAAAATAATAAGCCGGATCCAATTCGAAGATTAAGGAACAACGCAATCTGCAACATTAACTGAAATAAATAATTAGATAGTTTTAGCTTATACCGTCCGTTATACATTAAACGCGCATGCGTAAACGTATTATGCGCATGCGCACATGTATATTCGCAGCCGTAAAGGTCTTACGCGCACGTACAAACGCCTATGCGCATGCGTGAACGTGAACGCCACGCATGCGCAGAAAGTTTTTAGCTTTGAGGTCCGGATTATAGATAATTCCGGATTATGGGTGTCCGAATTAACGACTTTTGACTGTAATTCTATTGTTAATTTATATTGTTAATTTATATTAGACAGAATTCTGAAAAATAATTCTAACTTCTCACAAACCTCAAAAACTTCGATTGCAAAGATTTTAGTTCCTATCGAAAATGTGATTGGCATCTTACCGCCTATAATCTGCCGAACTGTGCCACATTATATGCTCTTCCCAAAATTCATAAAAGCGGTATTCCTTTTCGCCGTATTGTATCAAATTTAGGCACTGCCTTGTAACCGTTTGCTAAATATTTTGTTTCTAAATTTTCAACTTTATTAGATAATAATAGGGGGCCGGAAAGTAATGTCGCTTTCTTACATTAAATTCAAACGAATACATTTTTACAAAGTTTTTATTTTTAATCAGTTATATAATTACCCTCGTTATCAACAACCTTTTGCCATCTAATGTGCAGATTTTCAATCCCGGACCGATAAAAATCAATTGGTTTTTGAGTAAAATATCTCGAGAGGACATTTTGGACATCATCCAAATTTTCAAATTTTTTGCCTCTAAGAAAATGTTGTAGGGATCCGAATGAATGGAAATCCAATGCTGCGATATCGGCCGAGTATGGTGGGTGAGTGTGGCAGTACCTCCTACCCCAATTCATTAATTTTTTCCAGTGTTCGTCTTGCACAGTGCGGTCTTGTATTGTCGTGTTACAGAATGACGCCTTTTCTGTTGAAAATTGATATTTTTCGATTAAAGATTGGTTCACTCCATCCAATAGTTCACAGTAAAGGTCTGCATTAACAGTTTGTTCAGGTTTCGGCAATTCAAAATGAACAATTCCTCGAATACTCCATCAAACACCCAGAAGCGCCTTTTTGGGATGTAAACCCTTTGTAACCCCTATTAAAACTGCCTTTTGAGCTTTGGATTATCATATAGAACTTATTTTTTTGTCTCCACTAATCAAACGATCAAAAAACGGTTCTCTATGGTGCCGTTGAAGCAAAACGTTGCATATGATGGATAGGTTGGCTTTGTTCTTTGTTCTTTGGACGATTTGGGGGCTCAAAACTGCTTGCTTATTTTCCATTCTGCTTAATTTCTTGATGTTGACCGTGTGGTAAGAGTTTTAATGATTGCCATTCTGCCTAGCAGTTTGTCGAAGCGCAAATGCATACTCGTCCCTATACAGAACCATAACATTTCAATAGAGTTTGTAAAAAAATTAAAAACATTTCTCCTCGTAATTTACTCATGGTTTCTTTTGATGTAAAATCATTATTCACCAATGTCCCAGTGGAGGGTGCATTAAGATGTCTAGAAACCAGACTTCGCGAATTTCATTTCTCTTGCATCGAAATTGATGAGCTAATTTCTCTCACTCAACTCTGTTTGAAACAAACACATTTTGTTTTCCAAAATAAATATTACAAGCAAACTGAGGGATTAGCCATGGGAAGCCCCCTCAGTCCCATCCTGGCTGATATCTACATGCATTATTATGAATCAAAATTGTTTGAAACTTTAAACTTCCCGGCATGGTTCCGCTACGTAGACGATACTTTTACCCTGTTTGAAGGTAATAAAGATGATTTAAATAGAGTTCTTTCAACAATGAATTCTATTGATCCTGCTATTCAGTTCACTTTTGAACTTGAGACTTGCAATTCTCTTCCGTTTCTCGACATTCTGGTCACACGCAACACATCCAAACTTCAGTACTACAGTTTACCGTAAACCTTCATCGGTTTGCCTTCCACCACACTTTAAATCATGTCATCCGACTAAACAAAAGTTAGCTTCATTTTATTCCTATGTTTTCCGTGCTCTTCAAGTTTGCTCCTCCAAACTAGCCCTTGATGAAGAACTAAATTATTTAAAAGCAATAGCTTGACAGGGGCTTTTCACCTAACATTATTAATCAAGCAGTTAAAAAATTCTCAACACTAAAAGCCACACTTTTAGGAGATTATAAAAATTCTGTTGTTATTCCCTTCTTTCCATCAATTAGCTTATAAAGTTGCACATATTTTGCAGAAATTTAACTTTCGGGTTGTTTTCTCTCCCATCAATAAAATTCCAACTTCTAAACTCAAAAGGACCCCATTCCGGATATGAATTCCTGTGATATTAAGGATTCCTTGCCATTGTGGTTTAATTTACATTGGCAAACTAAGAGAGCCTTAAAATTCGGTAAAGAAGAGGTATGTTAGAAAAGGAAACAAACTTATGTTCAAAAATCACACTTTCATTTTTTGTGTAAAATTATTCAAAAACATCTTCTTGGGATTGATTTTGTAGAGGCATTTCACATTCAAAAAAAGTGTTTCTGTTCTACTGAACGACCCTAATTCTAATCCATCTTTACCTTCAGCCTTTAAGGAAATTATGTTTTAGTTTTCTTGTTTCATAAATAAATGGCGCCAGTAGCTGTGTTTTCTTGTTCAGTATTAAAATAGAAAAAGAATGCTTAAAAATTTTAATTATTTAATCAAAATTCACAAAATTTTTACACTACTAAAAGTACAGTACATATTTTTAGGTTAAAATAACATGGAGCTTAACTCCTGTCAAGCCATTCTTATCTTATCTTTTTGCTGTATCGTATCTCGTTGATTTGCAATTAGGCACCTGAGAAAGATGGTTCTATAATTCAACCATCGAAGCCAGTCTTGCAAAATTTGCAAATATTGCGCTTATTCTTGTTGTTTTACTTCTCCAATAATCATTATTCTGCATGTTATTTTAACCTAAAAATATGTACTGTACTTTTAGTGTAAAAATTTTGTGAATTTTGATTTAAATAATTAAAATTTTTAAGCATTTTTTTTCTATTTTAATACTGAACAAAGAAAAACAACAACAAGAAATTTAGAAGCAAGTTTCTTAGATTCCCACAGAGAGAGCAGTTTTCATCTCTTCCTTTTTTAATCAATAATCCCTTTTTTAATTCCGTAAATTTTATTTTTTCAGTTTTACTCATCTTTTTTATAATTTATCAAAAAGATTTGCGCAAATTAAGAGTTTGAGTGAATATTTTCTAAAGGTTGTGATAAAAATCCTACACTGTAATAAAAATAGATTTTCATCAACATAAGAAAATGTTATTTTTCTTGATTACCTCAAATAAATAGCTTTTGTGGCGAGATCAAAATATGTCACTTATCAAATCATATCAATCAAATATATCAATCAAAATATCTGCCATTTCAAATATGTCATAGCTGAAATTTTCTTCAGCTCCTGGTAACTAACTGCTATCAGAGAGCAATTTAACACATTGTTCAACCTCTGGCATATTTTAAATGTAAACTTGGTTGTGATTAATAAAAAACGTAGTTATTGAAATTTTTTTTTATATGATCAAAGAGTTAATACTTTTAACAGTAAAAACTGTAGAATGCATATGCTGTTTTAAACAGTTATTAAGGTGCTATAAAATGTGCAGATATAAACATATAAGTGAGATATGCAGATATAAACATGTAAAGTGAGATATGCAGGTATAAACGTGTAAGTGTAACACAGTTTATTAGTGAGCATTCTGTGATTCTTTATATCTTATTTTTCAGGTATTTGTCTCAGACTTGTTTTAAGGAATAATTTTATAGTTCAGTGATATTTATCTATGAATAATTAAATACTGTTTCCAAAAATAAACTTTAAAATAAAAGCACGACTGAATGAGCCTCAGAAGTAATGTTGTACGGAAGTAGGTAAAAAAAATTGCCATTTGAAGAAAAGTTTTATTTCTGAATCTGATTCCTGTATGAAATTACCAAAACTTAAATATCAATTGAGAATATTATTTAACTCAGAGTAATTGATTCAATAATGCAATTGGTGAGTTGTTTAAAAAGTAAAATTTTTTTAAAGTACAGTGGAACTAAAAATACCAAGACTAAATGCACCGCAGTCATTCAGGTGTTTTGGTTCCTGTGCACCATGTGTGTATTAAATTGATTATAAAAAGTTTATGTGTCACATGTTGTTTTCAGCGAAAACTTTGCAATTTAAAAAATTAACATTTTTCCAAAATGGAAAATACATTTTCATTGGAATTATGCAACTAAAGCAAAACAATCAAGTTATTTAATTTATAAACTCTGATACTAAATACCAAATTGTACTTTTATTTTTCATGTGGTAAAATTAAGCAAAGAAATTTCTTTATTTGGATGAAATAAAAACTCAAAAGATATTTTTAAATAAATTAGTGACTAATTAGTTAAGTAATGAAATATGTTATTTAATTTTTGTTAAGTTTGATGTTTTATAGGTTTCAGTTTAATATGTATAGGCTGTAACAAAAAACTGTAAGGCATTCTTATATATTGCATGCATTCATCCAATTCAATCACTTCTTGAAAAGTATGTAGTATCATATTTTTTATTTTATTTCATTCAACATAATTACATAAAAGCAAGTAAATAAAGTAGCATTCCTAATTTAATTGGCTTTGAAAGAGCAAGTGATCAGAAATTTGGGTAATCCAGATAGTTGGAATTTTTGCTGTTTTATGAATGTTTCTGTTTTCAAAACTGTAAATGAAGGAGAGTAATGTTTTTTCTTCCCATTGGCAGGATTTACTTCTTCAAGGGCCATCTGCTGTCATTGACAGATCACTTTTTTTCTGGCTTTTGAGTTACTTCTTACATCTGGCAGCCTCAGTGAATATTAGTTTAGATCATATAAGGTAATATGGTAATAAATCATCTTAGAATATTTAACCAAGTGATTGCACAAAGTGTGTTGATATCTTTGCGTTAAAAATGTTTGTAGAAAAATCGGTTAGAATGGACTGAACGGTACCCCTTGTATTATCGCGAAGTTGTTTCTTCATTTATCGGCAAGTTGTTTCGTATTATCGCCAAGTTGTTGTTTCATTTATAGTAACACGAGTAGTTGAATATTCCGTAAATATATTTTTACCCAGAACTGGGTGCTCCTTTGACTTTTTAATTGAAAATATATCGATTTGTACATGGACAAAGTCAAGGGAGTATGCAATGCCAAGTTTATGCAATTCTCTGATTTTTTTTTTTAGTGAAAATAAGCCGACGTGTACATGGCTAAAGTCAAGGGAGTGGGCAATACTTAGTTTGTGCAATTCTGTGATTTTTTTTTTTAAGTGAAAATTGGTTAGTGTGTACAATTTGTGCAATTCTTTGACTGTTTTGACTTGTTATTTTGTCTTTGTGTAGTGGTGAGTTTTGGCAAATCGGCGCTACACAAAGGCAAAATAACAAGTCAAAGAATTGCACAAACTGGCTATCCATGTCCCGCCTAAATTGCCAATTTTCGCCACGGGCTACCCGTAAATATACTTTTACCGAAAAATCATATCATGTGCATGAATATTGCATTATTTGTGAGAGTTTCATTAGTGAACTGTGTGAAGTGACATTTTCTGGGTAGCATAGTTCATGGTGTAGTAAAAATGTAAATAAAATATCTTTCAATTGCACAGTCTGGTACTCTATTTTACACAAATGGCATCTGAACTAAGAAGCTTGAGATTTGATCAGACACAAATCCCTATCATGCTATAATTACCTAATATGCCAGATTTCTTACCTCTAATCCAACTATTTTGTCTTAACAAGATGATTCTATGGGTTAACGTTTTTTGGCAATTCAAACAAAAGAAATACGATCATCTTATGACATAATAAAAGAGGTATTCTGTCTGTGCTTTTGGGAATGGCGGAAGTGCTGTGTGTTTTGATAGTTGTTACTTCTAAGACTGACTGCGTAATAGTTATTTACATTTCAAATAGAACTATTTTATATGCATTTTTGTAAGCTTTTTAAATATAGCTTTATGTTTTCAAACTTAATATAAATATCAAATATGCATATGACAGTTACATCAGATATATTTTTAAGTTAAATATTAAACATATACTGATTACCAAATGTAAGGTCTTTTGACACTATTAAGCATTCAAAAGTTCATTAAAACAATGACGTAACCCCTTCCCATTTTATTATAATGCTTTTCTTTTCTGTAGTTTATCAAATTTTTAAGCATTCTCAGATTCTGTGCCCATTATAAATGAAATAAAAAATGCTTTAAAATCAGATTATGACAGTTACGTCTCATAATTGCAACAGAATTGTTAAAATTTTCAATAAGATGTTTGCTGATTTTTCATAAAACATTTTTTAGAAACAAAGTAGCTTGTTTCCCTGTAGCTTAAATATATTAAAGAAGTATTCCTTTTCAGTGCATGCAAATTTTTGTATTATTGCAAATTGTGTTGTGTGAATCTAGTTTTTAATTTTGTCACCTGCATATTAGCAGCACGGTATTATATATATTTGAGAGTAACCCTCATTTTAATAAGTGTTGGGGGACCCTATGAACTCGTTTACCATTTAATTTGTATAATCTATAAACATTATTGCTCATTCTACTCAGAAACGGCGATGATGATTACAGTAGCCTTAAGTGACAAGAAAATATATAATTTTTATTTCAGTATCACTTAAAATTGTTTTGTGAATTTCATTTGAATAAGATGCATATATTTAATAAAAACTTCTTTAGGACAGCAAATTACCAAAAATACTGCCATTAAATATATGTGGAACGTAAAATGTTTCAGAGGACAGCACATGCTCTGCTCATATTATATTTACTGTGTCTAGCCTTCCCCTAGCTTATTTTGATTATACATCATATATTAAGGAGACAGCTGTTTTAGCTCGTTTATAATGCATTCTGCCATTAACTATTATTATTAAGTTTACCTTCATAACTGCTGATTTTTAAAATAAAATATGTATAACTTTCACAATTAATTTCATCCTTGCTTTATCAGATAATTTTGATGGTGTTTTCTATTTTTATGATTTTAGAAATACAGGACTTATGCAACTAAAATATAAAATTTTATTGTAATAAGAATTGTGTGGTTTGTTTATTCAATATTATCAAGAATATTCTTTTTCTTCCCTCTTTGAAAATTTGTATTGGGGTTTTCAAATTACTGTCAAGAAATATGTGTTGCATGATTTTTAGCTTTTCAGCTTTAATATATAAAATGGTATTAGTATGTATGTAGAGACATTAGGATTTTTTGGAAGCCAGAGAGATGAAAAATTAACAATTGCCTTCGCTGGCATCGAACCACGGACCTCTGGAATACCGGCCCAGCGTGCAGAACCACTACACCACGAAGGACGCTAGAAAAATGGGAGAAATACCTTATATATAGATTTAAGGTCACGCATATTAAGAGTTTGAATGAATTATGTTTGAATGAGTAGATCAAAAAGTAATAAATGCAGTAATTTTTTACGTATTGTAATGAATTTTTTTATGCATGAACACATCAAAAAGGAGCAATCCTGCTCATTCTCATTATCATGTGTTTTATTTCGCATGGTAGAAACTGCAAATTACTCATGAATTTCTTTTTCAGTGCTATCCTTAGCGTTGAAGTTATTTCCTTCTTGGTGTATGAATGCGTCACTGCTTGTGAAAATATGGAGTTACATTGTAATGCTACTGAAAAAATCTGCAAGTATTATTCAGTTCAGTAAGTATTACTCACTTATTACATCATTCATCTATTCACTCACATACAGTGCGATCCAGAAGTTCCTGCACGCTTATTATAAATTGCATTTACTTTAACAACGGAAAATATTCATGAATATTTTTTTGGGGGGGAAATCTGTTCAGGGTTAATGCTAGGCTTTTTTAGGGCCCAGTGCAATCGCTGTGTCTCATAAATTATATTGTGTTACAATCCTTAGAAATTAGGCGTAGAGGTTGCGCCTAATTTTAATATGTTTGTTTGGTATTGTTCAGTGAAGTGCTTATGCACATTTACAGAATACCAGACACGATGATCAAGAGATGGGAAGAAAGGAGAGTCATTGAGCGATGAATTTTATGCAGGAAGAGGGAGAGAAGTTAGCTGTGCTAGAAGTACCAGAAGTTGAAAGATCTGTGGAAACATCATTATACACAACCATACATCATGCACCACTTTGAACAAAGTGCCAAAAAAGCAGTTGTATGTTTGTAAGGATTATGTTAATTTATCTAACAGTTAATTTGAGTTATAATTACTTTCCTATCCTTTCTTAATTTCAAGCTTACAACTTCCGGCCAGAACATATTTTTGGAATCGCGTTTGAATGCAAATGAGGAAGAGTTTTTAACTGTGAAGTTCTACTGACTTCGTTAGAGAGCCAGAGATTCTTAACTAGCACGCGTTGGCCCATTTCAGACTACTCTCTCTCTTAAGCTATTTTTAGGCTGGGTCGTACTTTAGGTCCTTGATAGCTTCGCCGTTATTAGCGTTAAGGGGTCAACTCTGTTAGAATCTTGATAGCTTCGACTATATCTTTTTAGTTAAGTTTTGATTCTTAGTTTCCTAAGTTCAAGCCTGAACGGAGGCTTTATTGTTAACTCCGAGAAAGGAGTCCTCTGTTAAAATTTTATTGGAATAATAAAAGGTAGTTTCACCCTTCTTACATTTTGTTCTCTGTCTCACGAACTCAAGTGATTATTCGCTTATCAATTCTTAAGATTCTTCAACTTTAACTTAGAAGTAACCAGGTTAGAATCTTACATGTGTAGTGAAAAACATAGGGGCATTAAAAGCATCCTCTGTAAAAGACTGCGTTTTGTTCATTTAATGTGTGAATGATTAATCGTACTGGTTAACATTGTAGTCATAAAATAAATTAAATCAATAGTAAAAAGAAGATAGGCTAGAGTTTGGGTCCTTTTAGGTTTTTTTCAGAGTATCTTATTAGCCTGGAGTTTGGGATCTTTTGAATCGCCCTGCCTGTGAAACACTTTGTTTTACTTCTTAGAATGGAGCAGGAGCACTAAGAGAAATATATTCTTTATGTATTTCTTTGGGAACATAAGCCATCTGGTGCTGTGCTACATTACTACATTTATTATACGCATGATTTATACCACATTGTTTTATATTTTCTCTTTAAATTTCTTTTTAAGAGTTGTTTTAAATTGTGTTAAGTACATAAAGACCAACAATGTTTCATTGTTTTCTAACATTAGTTTGATAATATTTTGTGGAACACTTAGTGACTGTTTATGGAACACAGTTTGTGATACACTGCACTTGTAAAGATGAAACAGTGAAGTGGAAGCTTAGGTCTAGTTTGATAGAATGGTTCTGAAACTGAAACGAAAGGAAGAAAAACAGAAAGTGGAGCTAGAGATGGCTATGAGTTGTAAAGAGAGGTTGTATATGAAGCAGAGTACAGGAATGGAAAACAGAAATTAAAAAATAAATTTTTCTAATTTTTCTGTATTTAGAAGTTTACCTGTTCAGTTTTTTAATTCATTTTTTAATCATTAAGTTTCATCATATTAAAGATTTTTGTGTCATGAAAAATTTTCTAAATGGTCTGTTATTTCATTTTCCTTTTTTAATGCTTTTTTATTTTAACAGGTTGCCGTTTTCAATATATATTTTATGTTGTTCATTTAAAATGCACTGAATTTTAAATAGTACTATGCTTTGCATTTTTTTAAAATTGCTAACTTTTAGTCTTTCCTCTTTTCCAGATATTTTTGTTTGTTTGTTTGTTTGTTTGTTATTATGTAGAATTTTTTTTATTTCTAATTACCTTTTTATACAATACAGTTCACTGAGCAGTTATTTTTCATTTTTTAGATTGGATTTACTTGTAAATGCATTGAAAGAAATACTGAATACTGTTGATTTGTACACTCGAAAACCTAGTTCGCAGAAAGATAAATCACATTTTACGGAACTTTGCAGTAAGTTTTCTTTCTCTAATTGAAAAATGATTTTATCATTATTATTTGATTTACATATCCACTATGATTTACACAGAGATTGTTCAAGTATTTTCTTTGCAAGTTTTTTGTGTTTACTCTGTCAGTGTGTCACTTCAACTCTCATTTAGCATTATAAGGCAACCATTCATATAACAAAGATCATATTTGATTGGTTTGAGGAAATAGGATTGAATGAACTCAACTTGAGAACCAAAAGCTCCATTTTTAACTTATTTGAGCAATTTGGGGGTAAGTTGGAGCACCGGATGTGAGCCAAACCAAAGTGCCGCAAAATGAACATGGATCTGTTCACCATGTTACTGGATAAAAGTCTAAACCATCTGCAGATATTTACAGAAACTTAGTAGAAAATCTATGCTGAATGTAAGGCCTTCATTATATTGATACTAACCTTCAAATAAGCATAATCATGTAGATGTCCAGTTATCATTGGCAGTATAGTGTGTGTTTATTAAAAGCATTTTGTGTCTTTTTTTTTAAACTAAAAAACTATTCATCAGGAGTATTGGTATAAATTAAATAATTAGTTTTTAATATGTATAATGTGTACGTAACAATAACTGATTATGAAAGAGACACCAAAAGTTAAAACAATGGTAAACAAATTAGCAGAGTGCAGTTCATTTATTGCTGTATAAGATCATTGCCAATTCAGTTACTTTCGTAGTGTGTGTAACTGTTGATTTGTGTTGTAGTGAGGAAAATGTCATAATTTTTTAATTTTTTTTCCTTTTAAAATAGCTAGAATGTGATGGCTGATACTATGCTAAGAGGTATGGCTGCAAAATTTTGCGAAAAACTAACTGCCGACTTTTTGAAGGCATCCAAACTTTCACAGTTTGATCAGTATTTTATGATGCAGCAGAGGCGTTTTCTGGATTTTTCTACTTGCCTTAACTGAGCCTTAATTTATAAGGAACTGAGGCTTAGCAATTCGGCCATTCTTAGATGAATCTTCCTCGAAAACATAGTTCGGTATTCGCCGAGCGATGAGAAATTTTAAAGTCTGCATTTTTCTCCTTGAAATCGTTGCTAAACTTTTGAGTGTGATTTCGATTTTTTTAATGCTCGCAACATGTTCTACTGAATAGCAAGGGATATTTTTATGTTTAGAAATGTTTCTCATTGTTTGTTTGAAATATCACCGAAGTTAGTACAGTTGTGTGATAATTTTTAATTGATTATTTTCTTTCAGTTTGCATAGTCAAACTGATGAACATTAATTTGCCTTTAATTCCCCCTTCAGCAAACGTTTATTTTCATTTTCAAAATAATTTTTAGTTTCTTTTTTTTAATCTTTTCCATTATATGAATAACGTATAACACACAATTTTCTGTAGGTAATCTAGTATGACCGCATATGCCATTTTGAAGAGGGACAGTACCGAATTCTTGACATTTTCGGCTGTCCCATCTTTTTATTAAAAATGACCATTTTTCCCTGTTATTATTAATGGCTTATCACATCTAACGACACATGAGTCTAGGAGAAACTTTTGCGAGAAACGCTCTTCTCCTTCTCCTACCCGCCGAGACATGTTTCTTGGAACCGATGTTCTAGCTAGCTACATGGCAAGGTCCGTCCATTTCTTTTATGGATCTTGTCTATTTGGGACATTTCTGAACAGAAAATGCTTCACTTGAAGCATTGTCCATCATAGGATTTCTTCGTAGAATAGCTTTTCCCGTAAGTCAACCAATCAGATATACCACAAACGAAAATGCCGAGAATTGTTTTTTTGGTTGTGCTGTTGAGGGTAGCTTATGGATGCAATACCGGTTTAAAGGCTTTAAAAAATATCCTTTTCTAGGCAAACATAAATTATTGTTCAAAACCTGTATTATGAATCAATATTATGAATGCCAAGATAACTATGGAGTTGGATTATTTGATTAGTATCGGTAATTGCAGAACTAGCATTATAGAAATAGTAATTATAAAAATTGTAAGCATTTGAATGCATTGAAAATAAAGAATATTGCTATAGCTGATAGACAAGAGCAAAATTTTTTTAATGAAAAACACAAAAGCTTTCATGTTAAAATGTTCTGAAATGTGGAAAGAATATATTTTAATATGTATTGTATGTGGACAGAGGAGAAATTTATATTAAGCAATAAAACAGTAAAATGTTGTGATCCTAAACTGTATCCTGAAATATGAGAATTATAATTATAACGTGTAGAAGGCCAAACTGCCATGTAAACTCACCAGAGAAATAGTCAGAGCAAATTCATGGCCAAGTATAGTTCACTGTTAGTAAGTGTGCCTAAATATTTTTGTGGATTTTCATACTGAAAAATAGGGGTAAGTTCAATATTTTAAAGTTATAAAGCATTTTATGGCATTTTTCTTTATCCTAATTTATTCTTCCATTACTTCCCTATTTCGACTCATGGAAATATGGTCAATGTGTATATATGGCAACTTAAACCGTCTTGCAAGAAAACATTCTTTTGTTATCAGTTTATTTGAACTGTTGTTTCACTTTAACTGTGGTAAAGTTTTCTTTTGAAACTTTTTGTTAAGAGCACTTACTTTAAAAAAGAATACTATTGTAAAGGTAAGAAAAATACAATTAATTTAATACTTGCAAGTAGGCAATATGAATGCATTTATTTTTTCTGTAGAAAATTTGTTTATGTTATCTTGCAACAAAAAAAAATCCATTTCCACTTTAGTCTAAAGTTTAAAAATTATTAATTTCTATTAATTAGTTATATAATTTCAGTTTGATTTGTAGACAAAAGCGGTGGGAAATTCTTCGCATATTTTTAGCATTTGTATCATAATCCGAAAATATATCAGTTTAGACCTTAAAAGTGTTCCTGGAGTACTACAAATGTGTTTTGATAGCTTTATAGATATTCCTCATGTATCTGTTTGTTACTGTATTTTCTTTTATTAACTAAATTAATTGCTTATTAGCAAAAACTGTAGCTTAAACTATTAAACAACTTAAATTTCAAGTAATGTACTTATTCAAGAAATGTTTCATAATTTTACAGATTACATTATTTCATTTTTATAAGTTGAAATCCACCAGAATATCCAGAATATTTCTCGACTCTTTTTGGATAAATAAAAGATGGTTTCATTTGTCCGTAATTTCTTTTTTTAGGCAAATTAGCTGAGCTTCAGGATCTCAGACTTACTCCTCTCCTTCTGTTTCAAAGTGCAAGAAATAGTAGTAGAAGATGTATGGAGGATATTGTTATTCTTAATCACCAGATATTGACAATTGTAGAAAGAGGATCAGAAAATTGTATGGCACTCAAGAAGATGAACATTGTGACGCATTTAAAGCAGTAAGTTATCATGGAATGCATTATTTTAAAATAGTACTTATCTGAAGCAAGCTGAATGATATATGTTAAAAAAATTTGTTTTTGAATATTTAGATCTCCGACTTTCTGTTTCTCATTGGAAGCACTTTTATAGAAATGGTGCTGTCTGTAATTGGAACAGAGAATATCTGGCTTCACAAAAAGCGCAAAAGAGTTTTTTCCGTATAATTTTTCACAGATAAAAGTCGATCAGTTTTGAATAGATTTTGAATCAATTAAATTTTTGGTTGCACATGGCAATTTTAAAAGCTATTTAAAGCGATCTGGACTTGCCTCAAGGGCTTTATGCAACCGTGGTATCCGCAGATGAATTCTTCTTAAGTTCATTCATCATGTCCAGCAGAGGAAGATACTTCAGGCAACTTTGAAGCACCTGTCTGTATCTTGGCTAAAGAGACAATTTCTGCTAATTTAGATTACTGAGTTGTCATTTTAATACTTTATTTTTCTTCAACTGTTTTTCTTTCTTTATTATTTTAATTTATTTATAGTTTCTTAATAATTTTAGTCATTTGCAGTGCTATTGTACATTTGTTTATTTTGTTAATGGCATAACTTACTTGTGTAAACCTCGTGGTATACGTTGTGTAATATGAGGAGTTAAAAAAATCAATATTAGAGGGAAAAATGCTCAAATATAAACTACATAAGAGCTATATAGTTTTAGTTCAAGTGGATAGTGCTCATTTTATGATACTAATCTATGGAATTCTGCCATTCATTCCTGTTTATCAATGTTATATGCAAAAGTGAATGCATGATTTCCTAACCTTCAGATCGTTTTATTATGCATTATTACAGAAGTTTCATCTTTTTGCATTTTGAAAAGTTGTCATAGCAGTTAATGAAGCTAGTAAGTGATACTTACCCTAAGTTTTGTTTTAAAATATATGCATAATTAATCTGACGAGTCTAGTTTTATCTCATAAAGAAATAAAGATAACTACCATATTCATTCACATATTTCTTCCCCTATCATTTTCTGTCATTATCTTGATTTATGGTTACATCCTAAATGTGTGCACTGTGAAATCATTGACTTTGAACAGTTTTTATTTCCTTCTTCATTTATTTCACGTAATATATATATATATATATATATATATATATATATATATATATATCTATATATATATATATGTATATATATATATATATATATATATATATATATATATATATATATATATATATATATATATATACTGCTCTTTGCGGTTATTTTTAAATTTTTTCACAGGAAAATCTCTTAACTTCTCATAACTCATTCATAGGTCACATGCAAGCAAAATGTTTCAAAATAATACTTATTTTCTTGAAAATATCTCTTGAAAAAGACTCATGAAAATTTCACAAATTCTTGTTTTGAGGGAAAAGCGAATCGAAAACCAACTCTAAAACATAAAAGAAGAAGAAGAATGCAATCTCTTGCCACAAAGTCCGAAAGGAATTATTAATCAAATCAAACCAAAGGGGGTTTCATTTTCCCCCACTCTCGTTAATAGATAGCTAGAGGAAAAGAGACTGTAATTCCCAACATGCACAGATGAGAAATTGTATAATTTAAAAAGATGGTACTGAAGTTAATAACTTTAACTAACTTCTTTAAAATGCAGAATGATGTACTATCTGTATGTCTATTCGTCTGGGCTTTTTAATGTGTTATATTCTTCATTTAAGTCTTTTCCTCAAAACCTCTTTCAATTTCAATTTTCAAAGACATAAAGTAAGTAAAAAAAAAGGGGAGGAAATATGTGAGCAAATATGGGAATTTAAAATTTAGGCTACATTTATCTGTGCTCAGAATTTTCTGTCATTAGGTTGACTATTCTGAAGCTGTTTTAAAATAGATATATAAATGCAGTCAGTCTTAACTTTCTTAGTAACATAGCATTAATTTAATCATGAAGTGGGTCTAATTACTTTATTTTGTGAAATATTTTGCTCTTATATTTTGAATATTTATTCCTGGTACATAAAATTATGAATGTTAATATTAAAGAAACATGCTGTCTGAAATAAAGTATTTAGCACAATATTAACAATAACATTATATGATTAACAAGAAATTGTTAATATTCTTACCTTCATTCAAAAATTAATCTTGAAAAATGAAAAAAAAAATAATCATGATATCCTCCTTTTAAAATTTTTGTGACTTTTTAGAAAATTACCGTTTATTTCATCTACATTGTACTATTATTTATTTAGCTTTTGTTGTGGCTATTGCAGTTAATGTGCTGCAAGGTAACTATTATAATTTGAAATAAAAAGAACAATTAGATTATTTCTAAGTACATTATCAGTCAAATTTAGAAGTTCAGTATCAGAATATAGCTTTGTGGATGGATTTAGCTAAAGCTAAATGGACGATATTAGTTTATCTAAATAGGTCTTTTGATGTTTGAAGTAACTGAATAGAATTGTATCTAAGAATCCTAATCATCATTTGTGTTTTGATAATTTTAGGTATCAAATTTAATTAATGTTAAATCATATATATTTTTATCATATTTTTCTCAAAGATATTCTTATTTCTTAGATTTTCTACGAGAAACGTTATGAACTGCTATGGAAATCTGCTTGAAAATTTCAAGACTAATAGGTAATCTGTGTGAGCTAAAAGAAGTTTATATTTTCAGGGTGTCTTGTAAATTCAGTCAGTTTTTTAATATGTAATATAATTGAGTATAGTTGGTGTTCTGCCTCCTTTTTAAATTTAGCTGTAACTTTATTGTTTTTTTCAGCCACTTTTTGAATGAATGTGTGTTCACAATGATGCACCATATAGCTGGAGATGTTCATTCATCACAGTTACTTATTGAACCATCAGTTCTGAAAACTTTTTCCAGCATTCTAAAAGAAGATATGGAGCTTGAACAAGTACGTCTATCATCTTATACAATGTTTCAAAGTGGTGTTTCTGCGTTTGAGCCCGAATGCAGAAATAATATTTTGAATATTTTTCTTGTGTTGATCATATTCAATATATATGTTACTTTCTATAAACTGAGGAAAATTCTGAAACATTTTTATAACTCAACAAATATAGAAAGTGAATCGAAAATAATATTTCTTAAATCTTTGAAATCTTTATTATAAATTAGAAACATTCTACAAAACATGTCTCATCAAAATTAAATGGGCTAAATTGTTAAGTGTAGTACCTGTCACAGCAGTAAGAATTATCGCAGTGATGTTACATACTATTATTAATAGTGTTTAGGAATTCATTTTCTAAGTGGTGGTTCCCAAACGGATATTTAAATATTGCCAAAGATTCAGAAAGGCAGGTTAGAAGCATCACTGGTAAATGCAAGACCAGGAAGTTGGGAATGGGCAAACCATGTATATAGCAGCCATTTCTTGCTATTGTTCTGCCAGCCAATGAGTGTCAAGCGACGCAGCATTATCTTTTAGATAAGGGGAAGATCCTGTTCACTCCTTAAACTGCATGGGAACCCAGCTCTGGTATTTTTCAGTTTTTGAGGTAAATCATAAATCTAGCCAGAGTGCACCAAAGCCATAACTAAGATGTAATATGCTGTGCCACTTCTCTTTACGAACCTAAACCATGATATCAGACGAATATAATTTATAACATTCTGTTTTAGCAAAAAACTAAGACGTAAAAGTTGATATTAATTTCTAAATTCACTGATCTTTCTATAAACCCATAGACAGAAGTTGACACACACACACACACACACACAAAAAAAAAAAAAAAAAAAAAAAAAAAAAAAAAAAAAAAAAAAAAAGAAGGCGGCCAAGTGCCCATCCACATGTCAAAAAATTATAGCTTAAGCATGTTTGGGGAGTGGTTAAAATTTAATGGTCATCCTGATCATGCCATTGAATTTATTGATTTGATGTCACTGGTTTTAGTTATCTGCTATTCACCACAGGATGAGGAAGGTAGGAACTTCTATTTATATTTCTAAATGGGCACCAATTTACTGCAGCTTTATGTAATGAAATGCTAAGATACATGTGTCAAACACATTCAACACTAGTGATTTCTCTCAGAAAAGAGTACATACTGACTTTTCAGATCAATGTAACCAAATATGGGACGAAAATTATCATTTGGACATTCAGGGACATATTCTTTTCGCCTGTTTTTGTATCCGTCTTTCTCGATTAAAATCTTTTAATTTTTTTATGCATTGTTTCAAGCATTCTCAGCACTTTCATTAGTGAGGTTTTAACTGTTCTATTTTTCTAATTATTGTGCCAGTGAAAAAAGGATTTGTATTCTATAAGCTTTTGAAATAGTAGATACTGTTTATTCAGAGCTTAAATTCGGTGGGGGATTAACAGAGTCTGACCGCTGTATTCTTAGATTTTGATTGAAACTGTAATTCCATTTAGAACCCCAAATAAGATGAGATTCCGTATTTTATTTTATGATTTAGCTATTTGCGATTAAATTAAATTTTATTTAAAAAATTTTTATTTTATCTATTTATGTTTTATATAATTATAATTGTGTATTTATTTATATTTTCATTTTTCCTGATGAATTGCAATAGGGCTGTGATACTTGTAATTTTAGAAATAATGCTCTGCACATGTTGCATATAAGTATAATGGCCGACATAGAGATGGAAAGCTTCATGGTTATATCTGCTTGTAGTTGCATGTCTTGGAATCCTCATATAGCTCTTCACTGTTGCCAAAACCAATGAGTTACTTCATAAAATATAGCTTTCTCAGCTGTTAAAAGTATAATTCTCTTTCTCTGTTGATCTTAATACTGTACGAATCACTCTGTGATGTGAATCTGGACTTTTCTGTTGCAGCAGAAATTTCCATCATTCAAACTGACATGGAATGTAGCTTATATAAAGTTGTTATTTTTAAGGGGGAGAAGGCAGGAGGTACATACATTGCTAGTCATATGGTGTAATAAAAAGAATATATATATATATTCCTTTTTAAGAAATCCTGGGTGCACGGTGGCGGTGGTAGCTGTTATCATACACCTGCTGCTTTTTTATGTTAGAGTAACCATTATAGAGCATTAATTGTGTAATAAAATAAACTGATTATCCACTACATTTGTAACTATGAGCCATTTTTCGCTGTTGAGGATTCTGTTTGAGAATTTTAAAATAAATTTCAAAGTTCACACAATGATTTTTATTATACACTGGTGAGCAAAAATTAAGGACGAAGTCGAAAAATTAGCATATCAGCTGAACGAAGAGGCAGAGCGGACAGAAAGACCACTCAGGAGATTAAGTAAGGTGATGTACGGTAGCACATGCGCAGATATGCAGGTAGACGTAATGGGGGAGTGTCTGAGTAGTATAAAGCATGTTGTCGGTGTAAGATCAGTATTTTTGGCAATGAGATTGCACGCCGTATAGCAGTTAAAATCACACCGAGTTGCTGCCTCAGCGAGAAATGGCGAATAATCAATCTGTTAGACGACATATGGATGCTTTTATCCGAGGTCGAATCATTGGGAAGTTGGAGGAAGGACGCAGTGTGTCAAGTGTGGCTGCAGAGGTCGGAATTGCTCACAGCATCGTTTCACGACTTTGGAGACAATTTCAAACTACAGGAACAGCTATCCGGGGGTTTAGTAGTGGTCGTCCACGAGGAACACACCCGCAGATGACCGGTATATTGCCTTACAGGCCAGAAGAAACAGGCGGCAGACAGCGGGAGAAATCGCTAGACACACGATACAGGCGACTGGACGACCGATATCGCGTTTTACCGTGGCCAGAAGACTGCACGGTGGTAGTCTGTTTGCACGACGCCCTGTACGGTGTGTACCTCTAACGCCTGCCCATCGGAGAAGGCGTTCTCTGTGGTGCCGGGAACACTGGAATTGGAGAGACAATGAATGGGGACGAGTACTCTTTACAGATGAGAGCAGATTCAGTCTGAGTAGCGATTCTCATCGCATACTCATCTGGAGAGAGCGGGGAAGCCGCAATCATCCCTCGAACATCATTGAAAGGGACAGGTAGGGAGGTGGCGGTGTTCTCGTTTGGGGAGGCATCATGCTTGGTAGTCGTACAGACCTTCACATCTTCGGCGCAGGTTCAGTCAACGGAACCCGTTATTGCAACGAGATTCTTCTTCCATATGTGCGTCTTTTTAGAGGCGCTATGGGTCCGCAGTTCCTTTTCATGGACGACAATGCACCATGTCATCGCACAGTAGCTGCCGAACAGCTCTTAGAGAGTGAGGATATTGAATGTATGGATTGGCCGGCACGATCTCCGGATCTCAATCCCATCGAGCATGTATGGGATTTTCTAGGCAGACGCTTGGCAGCTCGTACCTTACCACCAGTAACGATTCCGGAGCTTCGATTGGCGCTGGAAGACGAATGGGCAGCAGTGCCTCAACAACTCATTGACACCCTCATTCATGTTTCTTGCTGGACACCCATCACAGGGATGTTTCGGCCTTCAGTCGCATTGCGCTCCATGCTACTTTTTCAATAAAGCTTCTTCTTATCTCTCTGATTTCTCTTTTAGTAAGTGTTGCTTACATTACTCATGTCCTTACGTATTGGGGATCTTACGGTATTAAATGTGTTGATTTGGAAAGCTTTTGTACAAAGTTATATTGAAAAAACCGTCTCGTCCTTAATTTTTGCACACCAGTGTATGATCTGGTTATTTTGGCCTGGCATTAAGTGGTCTCTTATATACAAATAGTGCCATAGCCAGGGCCGTTCCTAGTGGGGGGGCAGCGCATAAAAGTGCGCTGGCCGTGAAAATCAGGGGTGGCCAGACTCTCGTGATACCATGACTAAATATTTTAAATTCATTGTTTGTCGTATGTGAGTACTTTTTATTTGTCGTGTGTAAGTACTTAGTATGAAATAAAAATTAATATTCATGCCGGTTAAAATTATACTTTGGATAAATACATGCAGAATAAAGTTTAAAAAATATGTGTTAGCGTTGTTGAATTGAATTCACAAAAAATTAATTTTTTTCCTCCTCCCTGATTAAATTCCATCTCTTTCCTCTGTACCCAACTTTAGTTGAAATAATCAGGAACTCTTTTAATTATGTGTAGTATAGGGAATGGCGAAAGTAATGATACTCTATGAAGCAGCAGATAAATTGCTAAATGAAGTAAAATTGCGATCCTTATTCTCATGAAGCATTCAAATAGCCCGAGAAAAACTTATCTCATTGCAAGTTGATTGTTGATTTCAAAAAGCAGTGAGTAATATACCATTAATTTAGAATTACTTGTTTAATCCTGTGTTTTCTAAATGTCCCAGCTACCATATACCATTAGTCTTCATATGCATTACATATAATTCAAAAGTTTATAGCTAATTTTATGTGCGAGGAAGAATGAAAAGGTATAATTTTACTAATATATGATTTTAATCATATTTAAGAGCCTTATTATTTATTCCAGAAAGTTTCATCTGCTAATTCTGGTGTAAGCCTTATGGTCTTTTATTAATATGAGCGAAAATAGATGTTAATGTACTTTATCAAATAACTATGTAAACTTTTTTGATATCTGTAAGCAAGAAGTTTTGGAAAAACTAGTTTTTATAAGTTTGAGATGTCTTTGAAATGTATATTTTTGTTACAAAATCCTGAAATAATGTACTATTTTTTTTAATGAATTATGTTTGGTTGTGTATTTGGCAATGTAAATTAGGATATACATGGTGAAAATTTATTTAAATTATTCATGATGTTCTTGACTGAAGAATAACGAACATGCTGATATTTGCTGTATGTATGCTGTATGTTAGCCAGAAAAAAAACCGTCATCTTTTTAAAATTTGAATTGTGTAAAATGGCTGGCTTCTTTTATAATATTGTATAGATATTTGAATTACAGTTATGCATATCAGAGTGCACTTCATCTGCAAAAGAATACAAAATACTTCATAAGAAATGACGATTGGTGTGGTCATCATTATTGAGCACTCCATAAAGGCTTACCACTGGTCAGATGTAAGTCTGCCGGACACTGGGATTCAAGCTGGGTTCGAATCTTAGCAAATAAGCTGTTAGCATGAGTGTTTTCATGGTTATCCCAATGCATTCTGTAAGCTATTTTTCTTTAAAAAGTTGACCCTCAAACCATTCCTTCCCTTAGACAGCTAGTTATCATGTGCTTTTCTGTATGCCAGTAAACAAATAAAAAATATTCCCTTTAATATGAGTTAAGACTTACAAGCACCAAAAAAAAAAAAAAAAAAAACTCTAGGCAATTAACCGTAGTATGTATTTGATCAGTGTTTGCTACTCGACCAATGTTCATACACTGGCATTGTAATTTCATAGTGATTGCTTCTTAAGTGTTGACTTATTACTCAAGGACACACTGTTTTTTGTCACTTTCTTAAAAATTCTGTATCTAACCCTGATTGGGAACCCCTGATCTAGGTACCAGATTACAAATCATGAAAAATCAAAATGCAAATATATAGTAATTAATATCCATTCCGTGAATGTATTATATATTTTGTTACTGTGAACTTAATTTTATTTTATTATTGCAAATGCTTTATTTTTATTGTAAATTATATTTTGATATTATGAATTTAGTCATTGTATAGCATTTGAAGATGCTTACAGAGATCATAATTATCTTTTCTCTTTTTTATGAAATAACTTTAGTATCAAGAGGATTTGATTATGTATATTTTGAACAAGTTCAGTATGCAAGTCAAAAGGGAGAGCTTAAGAGTGAGAAAAGCTGAGAAAGTTGATGAAAGTGACTCAAGGTACATTTCAGATTTAAAATAAACTGTGTGATTTTTAGGGTGCTAGTAATAAAAAATAAATTTAATGTTTGAGTGCTGGTCATAAGTTAAAAATAATCATTAGGAGAATAAAGAGTATATAGCATTAAGAGAATAAAGTGACTGAAGCATTGTGGTCGCAGCAGTGTTTATTCAGACAAATACTGTCTGCCATTCAAAGCACCAAATTCATTTGCTAGGGAACTGTGGTTTGTTGCTTGATATTTGGTTGATCATGTCCAAACAAAAATGTGTTTATAAACTAAACCGGACCTCTACAAGGTGCCTCTACAAATATGGCTTCTACTAACTGTAAAGTAAAATCTGACCTGTCATAAATATCGGGTCAATCCATAAGTTCGTGCGCGTTAAGAGTATGTGTGGAATTCACTATGACACATTTACTAAAACAATACAATTTCATCATACAAAAAGTTGTCATCATTTGACTAACATATTATTCAGTTCATCACCAAATTTCGTAAATATCGAGCGCATTTTAGTACCTATAGAAGATATAATATAGATAATCACTACAAACGTGCTGTGCTACATTTTTTATTTTCGTGTGATGAATCTGCCAGGTTTGCAGCGATAAAAATTAATAGTGTACATGGTGAACACACTATTAGTGTAAGGACTGCCCCGAAATGGTTTAAAAAATTTAAAGTTGGAAAAAGCAGCATTGATGAAGAAGCCCGTTTCAGGACGTTTTGAACTGTTAGAACCAAATCAACGATTAATTCAGAAGTTTATAGTGAACAACTTTGCCGTCTAAACTCAGAATTGATCAAAAAACGCCCACGATTGGTGAATATCAAGAAAGTGTTGTTTCATCATGATAATGCTAAATCGCATACGGCTCGAACAACGCTGCAAAAAATTTGTGAATTTAATTGGGAGCTTTTGCCGCATCCTGCTTACTCCCCAGATATTGTCCCAAGTGATTTTCACTTATTTAGTGCCTTACAAAACTTTTTACTGGAGGAAAAAATTAAATTCTAAACAAGATGTACACAATGAACTTTCAAGTTTTTTTGCATCAAAACCAGTAGTCTTTGTACAGCAATGCCATAAAAATGCCGCCTGTAAGGTGGCGAGACATTGTAGATAATTGAGGAAAATATGTAATTGATTAAAATTTTAAATTGTATTTTTTTATATTATTTCAAAATTTACCAAAAAATGCGCACGAATTTATGGACTGACCCAATAGATACTTTAATTGTGTTTGGACTTTGATTGGAGTCATATCTTGCTGGTATCTTACATAGCACAGCTTACATATACATACATGATACACGTTTGAGTCAGATCAGTTATAATGCCACACATTTGGAGACATTGTAATACAATATTTTTATTTAAAACGTTTGGGGCTTCAAAAAACTAATTTTACACAGCTGTTTTATCATCAGATTCCCTTGGATCTCTTTCATGCAATTATCTTAGCGCAAAAACTTTTTCTTTCACAGCATATTTTTCATCTTTTCTGTTACTAGAATGGATCTAAGATTTTTTTAGCGCAAATACTTTTTCTTTCACAGCATATTTTCATCTTTTCTGTTACTAGAATAGATCTAAGATTTCTTTTATATTCGATTTTACCAGAAAATTATTATCTAAATCGCTAATTTATTTCCAACTAATGTACATTATTGCAGTTGATGTAAATGGGGCTGTATGACTTTGGACAAAATTTTCATATAATTCCTATATCCTTTTTCATTTTTCAGATTTTCCCTTTTACTCATTTTCTTATTTATCTGCTATCTCTGGCACCATTTTAATATTTAACTTATTTTATTTAATTTTTTTAAGTATACTAGTGTAGCAGAAAAATTCCTGTTTTAGAATGGTTATTTGAATTTGCACTGGAATAAGGTTTAGATTGGTTATTTGAACAAAGATAATTGAAAGAGCATTTCTTTTTACGCATTGAAGTGGTACTGGAAAATTTAAATAATGTCACTTAAGCATTTCTCAGCTCTAGACTGATGCTACATGTATTATATTATGACAAATATTTTCAACTTTTGATTGATTGACATTCCAGCTTTTAGCTGTACATTGCCATGAAATGTGTTAATGTATTCTGCTTCAGTGTCATCTTAACAGCATTATGGGCCTGTGGGCAAAATAGTGTCCTAGGGACTGTACAACAGCCACTCATATAATTTCAGTGTAAATGAAATGTGTATGGATTAGCATGGGGCACCTGGTAAATGCCCAGCTGGATCATATGTTAAGATGGCCCTTTTTATGCTGTCTTTAAATTACTTTTCAAGCATGCATGCACAGTTATTAGCTTTGAGTAATTGTTTAACTAAACATTCGTGCTAAAACTTGAAATATCACGTATTTTTTTAGTATCTTCCAGCTTCATATCAGTGTCATAACATTGCTATATTTTAATGGCATATATTGATTTTTGTTCAGTGAAAGACAGATACAAACAGTTGTAATTTTTGTTGGATGTGTTTTCTTGAACTGATGATCATTCATCTGTAAAAAGCTTTGAACTTGACTATCCAAGTCCTTGAGCTGCCTGTTTCATTCCATAGTTCTTTTCATAATGTTTATTCTTCAGTTCCCATGAAATAAAACCCAGCACAAATAAATGTTTTTAAAAAATATTTCTCTTAAAAATTAAAGCCCAGTTTTCAGTTATGAAAGTGTATTTACTTAGCTATAATTCCTCATTTTTATAACCTGCACTGAAGGCAATTAAGTCAGGAAAATCATTTTTGGGCCTAAAACAAAAGTTCAATTGATAATCAGCTCAAATAAAATATTAAGTTCTTACCTGGTTCTAGATCTGATGAGCTTCTGAGAAGAAATTGGTGATAGATATTAATCTTTTGTTGCCACAATATAATATGGAACAAGTTACACATTTCTACAACTTACTTCTTTAGCATCAAAGTACTTAACTAACTAAAAAAAATAATACTTCTGCTATATTAATGCTATCTAGATTCTGAAACAGGGCCTATGACCCATAATGTCATAAGTATTAGTCATTGTGTGCCAATAGTGTAGCCATCCTAAATCTTTCATGAGCAGTAATTCCTTAAATATTGCTTCTTTATCTAACTACTTTAAGGATGAAGTAAAATATAACTTTGTTGAAAATCATAGATTATGACCCTTTGACTTTAAATTCTTAATTTAATGTCATTTTTGTGTTTCTAATTTAGACTAGACAATAGAAAGTCTGAAAAGTTTTAAATTAAGATAAATTTTGAAAAGAAATACTAGAAATGTACATGCTTGAATAGATTTTGTTAGATTAATAATTTCAGCAAAAAATTTTCCATCATTCTAGAAATTATTTTAAGCAGTTAAAAAATTCATAAAAGTGTTCTGTTTTGTTCACTCAGTTAAAGAAAGATTCGAAAATCTACAAACTATGGGGAGGGGAAATAAAATTTTTTGCTGATTACAGTTGTGTGAATGTACTTATTGTTATTGTAGTAACTATTGTTTGAGTTTTCAGTTTTATTTTATAATGCTGTTGCTTTTAATTGCACAGTGATGACTCATCAAGCAATAGCTCTGTTAGCAGTAATTGTTTACTCTCTGAAGATGATGATGACTTATTTTGGTGGTATCTGCAATTTGAACAAGATAAAGATCCAATCTCCAGAATTTCTGAACATATTTCAACATCCAAACGAGATGCAAGTAGTAAAAATCTGAATTTGAAGTGTCACGAATATTTTAAAATGTCATGCTTTAAATTTTTTAATTCATAATCTAAATTGTTGCTTGCATTTCTTTTATGTAGTTTTCCCCCATTTTAAAATTATATTGATTATTATTGAAATTTGTTACTAATTTATTAGAGGTAGGTTAATACCCATTAATAGAGGTAGGTTAATTTCATCACATTATTTCTTTAATTACAACATTAACATATTAACATAATTTTTAATTATGTTACATTTTAATTTCAGCTGTAGAAGAAAGCAGCAGCAACTATGTATTAGGGCTTGACATTTTATGAGAGTATACTTTTTGCTCTTTTGTTTTATGTATATTTTTGGCTTAAACTAATTTGATTTTGTATTTCTTAGTCTTGTCTAATGCATTTAGAGAAAAATACTTTTTATTTCCCAAAAGTTAACTTGCTAAAGAACGTCTTCTCTCTCTCTCTCTCTCTTTCTTTTTTTTCTTTCTTTCTTTTTTTTTTTTTTTTTTTTTTTATTTTTTTTCAAAAGTAACAGATATTTAATTTTTGCAGGGTGTTTTCTCGTGGGAAGCTCCAATTTACTGTTTACTACAGACAAAATGTATGTGTTATATAAGGTGGGAAAATTTAATTGTGGGAGTACATGTTTTTAAAGAGCTCTTCAGTCTATGCATATGACAAATGCAGGAAAATTCTCACCAAGCTGAGTGTTTTGGGTTCTTCAAATTGCTGAAGCATTTTTGATCTCTCTCATATTGTATGTAGTTTATTAGCAGAGATAATTCTTTTCTCCCTTTAAAAAGAGTCTATGCATTAATATGTGTAGACTGTGGTGATTTTAGACTTAGATTTTAGCATCAATGAAAACACCTTTTATCAACAGATGGTGCTAAGCCTTTGCACTAGTGGTTTGGCCTGGTTATCACTAGAGTGAGTTAAATCTAATGAGTGGGTAATCGTAGTGACATCACATTGGGAGAGCAGACATACACTGGTGTGCAAAAATTAAGGACGAAGTCGAAGAACGAAGAGGCAGAGCGGACAGAAAGACCAATCAGGAGATTAAGTAAGGTGATGTACGGTAGCACATGCGCAGATATGCAGGTAGACGTAATGGGGGAGTGTCTGAGTAGTATAAAGCATGTTGTCAGTGTAAGATCAGTATTTCTGGCAAAGAGATTGCACGCCGTATAGCAGTTAAAATCACACCGAGTTGCTGCCTCAGCGAGAAATGGCGAATAATCAATCTGTTAGACGACATCTGGATGCTTTACCCGAGGTCGAATCATTGGGAAGTTGGAGGAAGGCTGCAGTGTGACAAGTGTGGCTACAGAGTTCGGAATTGCTCACAGCATTGTTTCACGACTTTGGAGACGATTTCAAACTACAGGAACAGCTATCCGGGGGTTTAGTAGGGGTCGTCCACGAGGAACCACACTCGCAGATGACCGGTATATTGCCTTGCATGCCAGAAGAAACAGGCGGCAGACAGCGGGAGAAATCGCTAGACACACGACACAGGCGACTGGACGACCGATATCGCGTTTTACCGTGGCCAGAAGACTGCACGGTGGTGGTCTGTTTGCACGACGCCCTGTACGGTGTGTACCTCTAACGCCTGCCCATCGGAGAAGGCGTTCTCTGTGGTGCCGGGCACACTGGAATTGGAGAGACATTCAATAGGGACGAGTACTCTTTACAGATGAGAGCAGATTCAGTCTGAGTAACGATTCTCATCGCATACTCATCTGGAGAGAGCGGGGAAGCCGCAATCATCCCTCGAACATCATTGAAAGGGACAGGTATGGAGGTGGCGGTGTTCTCGTTTGGGGAGGCATCATGCTTGGTAGTCGTACAGACCTTCACATCTTCGACGCAGGTTCAGTCAACAGGACCCGTTATTGTAACAAGATTCTTCTTCCATATGTGCGTCTTTTTAGAGGCGCTATGGGTCCGCAGTTCCTTTTCATGGACGACAATGCACCATGTCATCGCAAAGTAGCTGCCGAACAGCTCTTAGAGAGTGAGGATATTGAACGTATGGATTGGCCGGCCCGATCTCCGGATCTCAATCCCATCGAGCATGTATGGGATTTTCTAGGCAGACGCTTGACAGCTCGTACCTTACCACCAGTAACGATTCCGGAGCTTCGATTGGCGCCGCAAGACGAATGGGCAGCAATGCCTCAACAACTCATTGACACCCTCATTCTCAGCATGGGCAGACGCTGTGAACCTGCCTAGCCAGTCAGGGCAGATCATATCCCCTATTAAAGACCGGATGTTTCTTGCTGGACACCCATCACAGGGATCTTTCGGCCTTCAGTGGCATTGCGCTAAATGCTACTTTTTCAATAAAGCTTCTTTTTATGCCTCTGATTTCTCTTTTAGTAAGTGTTGCTTACATTACTCGTGTCCTTACGTATTGGGGATCTTACGGTATTAAATGTGTTGATTTGGAAAGCTTTTGTACAAAGTTATATTGAAAAAACCGTCTCGTCCTTAATTTTTGCACACCAGTGTAATATGAGGGGCTTAGGCTTTGAAGACTATCTAGAGTATAAAAAGAGAATGGACGAAATTTTTTATATCTTTAGGCTTTTTTGAGGCAGAAAAACGTACATTTGAAGGTTGTCTTAATATTTCCATGCACCTGTGAAATGTTAAGCGTGGCTATCAATTAATATTTTTGTTTGTTGTCTGAATGATGGAATGACATTCTCTGCCTTGTGTAGATTTAATGAATTTCAACTGGAATATTTAAAGATGCTGATTTTCTTTTTGATAGACTCTAGGATTATAAGTTATTAGCACACAAGAACTGCTTGCATCATGATTCAGAAGAGTCATAGAGCCTATATTTTACAAAAGATGGTGAAAACCCACATGCCTTGAAATTAACTAAATGCTTATGGCTTGTCAAAGTGTTCAGATCTTGGGACAAGACAAAGCCAGTAAGAACACATCTGCTACTGTTGGCAACATCAGACACAGTCAGCTTATTAAGATGTTAAAAACGAGAGCACCTGACTGCCAGGTGAATGAAAAAAAAATGGGGAGTAGTTATTTTCAGCATTTGTTGTCATGCAATATGCTGCCAGAGTTCTACAGTTATATTTTCCTATCTTATACATTATGCTTGTAGCAAGTAATAACTAAGGGCTTTCTACTAGTATATTACCCTGCATGAGAAATTCAAACTTTGAGTCTTATTTATATCCTTTGGCTAATAATTTCCTAATTGTTCAATTTTATTATGGATAAAATCTTTAGGACACTTCTTGTTGATTTTTCCAACTTTAACATACATGTGTTATTCTGCTACAGCATCATTCATTGTTGCTTTTTGGCTTTATTGAAATTTTGTTTTGAGTAATTACTCTTCATAGCATACATAGATGAAATTAAACTTAGTTTGAAATTTTGCTTTTGATGAACATTTTAAAACTTACATAAATATATTCTTTTTATTATAAAAGAAAATAAAAGTTTTTAAGCCTTCAATGAAGAGTATAATTTTAAATATCTGTGTATTTAACTCATATAGCATTCATTTGTTTTTATCTTTTAAGAATCTTTTGTAATTTGGAAGCAGATATAACCAAAAAAAAAAAAAAGCAAATAATAATTTACTTTAAATATTTCTTAATAATAAATTGCTTTCCCAACAGAAGTATTAAATTTTTTACATTAAAGTATAACTTAGTGTTTGAGCTATAATGTAAATAATTTAATGGTTTATTAAATTTTTTGAGTATAATCATCTTTACAGCTTTATATTTTATGATAATCTTGTAGCTTTTGTTGCTTGTTATGTTTCCTTGCAAAAGAATCAGGAAAAATATTTTCTTAATAGAATTTTAAGCATTGCTTTATTAATGTAAGTGTAAATATTCAGCATCTTGCTGAAGTTTTTTCTCATTTTAGATCCTTTCAAAATTGCAATTAAAGGGTATAATATCTCCTGAGAAATACCAGCAATTAGAGGCACAAATGGTAAGCAAATCTTCCTCAATATTAGTATAATACTACACATGTAAAAGTTGTTCTTTGTATATAACTAAGTCCTTATTAATTATCTAAAATTAGCTGTCATTTAGTTAGTCTTTTTTTTCATGTGATTTACATAAAAAATATTAATTTTCTTATCATTTTTATTTCTAACCTGGAAGAGTTGCTCAAAGTTTTGATTCATGTTGCACATTACAAATGTTGGTCGTAGAAAGTTTTATCAGAATTTTTAATCTGGGCATAGGTAAGGAAATTCAGCTGAAGTAAGAAATCAGATTTGCGAAACATACTATAACATAACCCTACATCATATCAGTTTTAATAGATTTTTTTCTTTTTCTGCTATGTTTTTTGATAGCCATTGCTTATTGTTTAAACACTATTCTAAGCACTTGTTTTCATTTAATGAATACTCTCATTTTATCTGTGTCTCTTTTACCTAGCTGGATAACCAAAAACAGATACTTGCCCATCAGATTTTGATTTTTAAAGGAATTTAAATTATTCTTATTATCATTAATTTTTTGAAATCGTATTCCATTAATTAAGAATAACAATTGACTTGATTCTCTTCTTAAGTTATTAGAAATAGGAATATGGATTTTGAATTTGAACATTAAAAAAATAGATGACATTATTTAGATTTCATAGTATTACCATCTTCCAATAATCTCATACAATGTTTTTTATTGGAGTGATCTTCAACCTGTTGCTTCTTTCATTATTAAATGTGCAATTGAGATAGGATAAATTTAGTTATTTTGATCATTGGCATCCTCACTGATTATAATAAAAATGGTGATTGAAATCATAATTTATGCACAAGTGTGCAGTTTCAAACTTGATAAGTAATTTGTATATCAGAAAGTTATGCTCATTTGCTTAAAATTAAAGTAGTGCTATTTTAACAAATTATAAGAAAAAAATGATGGCAAAATTCTCATAGCTGGTATAAAAGTATCACTTGAAAACAAATTAGTGCAAAAAAAGTTAGCGGAAATAATTTTTCTGCTTATTAATTATTTTAACGTGGCTTCTTTAATAGTTTCTTTAATGGTTCATTATTTTAACATATGAACTTTATAGGGGGTCGAGCCAAGCTTCTTGAGATTTTGTTTTAAAAGAAGGATGAAAATAGTCGGCTTTTAAAGAGAACCGGGCATTGATATTTTGTATGGGGTCGATTCTTCTTGTCTATTGTTGTTATTATCATCAGTATCAATAAATGTCTGGAATTTTTCTAATACAGACTTTATTTCATTTTTTTTTTACATTTTGTTGACATTGTTGTTCATGTTATTCATTCTGTTTCCTTTTGAAGTTTTGGCACATTTATAGACAGTACTCGTATGTTGCATCTTTTAAGATTTTGTCAAGTGGTATTCCCAAAAGCTCACTTTAGAAATCTCTTTGATCTTTAAAATGCATTAAACAAATGGTTGCGTTTTAAATTTTAAACTTGGCTGCTGCTTTGCAAACAGCTATCAAAAGCTAGTCCATTATTTATGAAGTATACAACAGACCTTAACTGCCACAATTTCTGGTCACTGAGCTGCATCCTTGAAAGATATTCCTTCATTAAGGAAGCCTAAGTGAGCTGTCAGAGAACGTGAATAGGATTTAGATGTACATTTTAGTTCTTTGCCTCTAAATCAGTTCATTATCTTCCTGAATATTTGCAGAACGTCATAAATGCAGATGATGGGTAGTTTTTCGAAATGATCGACTTTTGGGTTTTCACAAATGTTCATTCTTTGCTTCTAAGGCATTCAGAATTAGCAACCAAATTAATAAACAAGTCATAAAAAAGATAATTTTGAAATGTAGTGATGTATATTTTCTTAAATTTTGCTTGTAAAAAATAATTGTTTCTTCATTCAATCTTTAAATTAACTATGATGAATTTTATAAGAAAACATTTAGTTCTTTGAATTGCATAAAGATGAGTATGCTGTTTTTCTCATAAGTTTTGGTAAATATTTTTATTGAAGAGTTTTCGTATGCACAGTTCTGTTAGTTAATAAGAGAGCAATTCGGAAAGTAACCTCCATTATGATGTTGTAAGGTTTATCCTAAGTTACTAACAGTTATTTTTAGTTAAAGCCACTGTCCTATCTCTCCTAATTTCATCTTACAATTTCCTGCCAGAGCGAGTTTTCAGAATCGCGGTTAAATCCAAATGAAGGAAGAGCAAGAATTTGAAGTTCTACTGACTACGTTAGAGAGCCAGAGATTCTGACCAGAGCGTGTTCGCCTTTTAGGCTACTCGCATTCTAAAGCTATTTCTACGCTCGGCTGGCTGCATGGGCGTTTTCGTGGTTTTCCCCATGTGTAACGTGTATACGAGCCAGTTTCCCTTAGAAAGTCCTCCACGAAGGCATCCCTCCCCTTAGGCAGATAGCCCTAGTGTGCTTTGCCGTAATTAAATAAACCAAACCAAACCAATCTACGCTCGGCCGTATTTCAGGCCCTTAATAGCTTCGCCGTTTAGTTAGCGTTAAGGGGCCAACTCTTGTAGAATCTTGATAGCTTCGGCTATATCTCTTTAGTTAAGCTTTTTCCTTAGTATTCCTGAGTTCAAGCCCAAGTGGAGGTTTTGCTGTAAAATCCAAGAAGGAGTCAACTGTTTAATTTATTTTGAATAATAAAGGGTAATCAACCCTTCTTACGTTTACGTTTCTATTTTTCTGAACTATGCGATTATTCGCTTACCAGTTCTCAAGGTTCCACACATTTAGCTGTAAATAATGGGTTGGAACATTATAATGTAAATAAAGAATTCCGCGTAGCTTCAACCAATTTTTTATTTACATCTGAAATGTACGGCTGCCCTCTAATTTTCAGCATAGTCACCATGTTTATTCAAGCACTTGCCACAGCGTTTTACTAACTTAATTATCCCTTCATAAAACTGAGCTGCCTGCGACCTCAATCAACATCTCACAGTGGTTTGAAGTTTCTTATCATCAGCGAAGTTCTGTGCCCCGAGCCACTTCTTCATTGAAAGGAACAGATGGTAATCAGAAGGAATCAAGTCCTGTCTGTAAGGGGGGATGTTGAAACATGTCCCATTTGAATTGGCGCAAAAATTTTGTTCATGGAGCACTGTGAGGACGAGGGTTATCGAGCAGGAGTGTAACTCTAAATGTCAGCAGACTGCGACGTTTGTTCTTGATGACACTTTTCAGTTTTCTCAAAGTGTTGTAGTGCATTTTAGAATAGATTGTTGTACGCGCTCCATGAATTCGATAAGCAAGATTCCATTAACATCCCCAAACACGCTGACCATAACCTTCTTAGCTGGCAAAGTTCGATGGTCTTTCCTCAGTCGTATCAAAGAACCAGCATAACTCCATGCCATTAACTGTTGTTTAGTCTCAGCATTCATGTGCGCCATCCAGATTTCGTCGCTAGTCACTATTTTGTTAAAAAAATTCCTCATCTTCCTTGTGGTATTGGGAAAAAAAGACTAAGGCATCGCCCATTCAACTAGTTTTGTGGATCTCTGTGCGAATTTTCGGCACCCATCAAGCACAGACCTTTCTGCAGCTTAATTTTCTGGTGACTACCTCATACAAAACAGTCCGGGAAATGTTCGAAAATTATTGTGAAATGTCATCAGTTTGTTTGATGAGATCATCACTCACTACAGACGCTCTCCCGCTCCTTCATTCATCATGAATATTTCTTCTTAATTTGAAAAATCTCACCCACCGACACACTACACCTTCAAACATATAATTCACGATGAGTGTCTGCCAATGACAGATTTTTTTGCCTAAACAAATCATACATCTCTTACCTCGCATTTGGCGGGATTTTCAATAGCAGTGCACATTTTGTGACGTTATAACCAGCACACGCGTGACAGTAGGAGACTCTCACTGAATCACAGATTGCTTGATGTAACAATGCCTCTCCACCCACTAGTACTAGCGCCACACCGCAATAGAGGTTATTTTCCAAATTGCCCTCGTATAGTTAATAACAATGCACCTATGAATTATGGATCAAGTGAATAATATATAATACATGAATTTATTTACATCATGATAGATGTACTGAACCTTATTTAATTAACAAAGGAAGCACTTATAAGAGCATTTTTTAGTAGCACATTTTTATTTGTTTTTCCATGTTCTGTTATGGGTAAGGTGAGTGCTTTTGGTGTCTAGAACAAAATCCTACCTTTGATTGGAACATGTATGTAATTTTCTTTCTTATTTTTAGTATTGTTTTCAATATATTTTATACTGTATTGTTTTATGTAATTATTTTCATTCTTGAGATACCTAACTATTATATGAAATTCATAGAATAAGAGATATTCATTGATTGTCTGCTTACTATTTTCTTTCTGTTAGAAGACTGGTCAGGAGCCTTGTTTGGAACTACTCCCAAATGACAATTTAGCTCATATGACTAATTTTGATGATGATATCACACACCTGATGCGTACTATAGTTCAGGCTGGTGAACGACAGCATCTGACTTGGTTACAAGATGTTTTGCTTGAAACATGTTATGTCAAATTAGGTAAGATCGATAAAAGTAAAGGTTTGATATTTTTTTGATAATTAAGGTATTTTAATTATATAAAATCTTGAAATTGGGAAATTTTACATATTTTATTGCTAAAAATACTATTTGTGGTCTTGAGACTATTTATTTCGCATAAAATGTTTTGATATAATTATTTAGTGCTTATTTTTTATTATATGTTAGCGTGAAAAACTTTACGTTAGCAGTGTTACCTGCTGTTTGGTTTCAATCTCTTTTTGCCTGCAAGGCGATATAACGGCTATCAATCACCGTTGTTTTCCTTGGAAAATGTCTTTGAACGACAATAACGATGGTGATCTGGTGTATTCCAAAATACACTGCCCTTTATCCTGCATGGATGGTGCCATTTAACAGTGCCTTGAGCAGCTATCTTGGAACTGGAAGATTTTTCGATGCTGCCAGATGGAACTTGTATAACTGTGTTTTCAGAATTAATTTATTTCTGTGTAATTGTTTCCACAGTTATATAATTTGCACTATGCTATTCTTTTTGCCCATTCAGTATGAAACACTCTGTATAATTTCTAGAAAGAGTAAAGGTTGTACTAAGGGTGCCTAAAACATGCATTTGAAATATATGTACATTCATCTGATTAATTGTTTTTTTCGTCAGTACTCATTGCACATTATAGGTAGATATTAGCTGGAAGTTTACCTTGTGAAAGGTTAATTTTTTATGTCCCAAAATATTTTTTATTTGAAGCAGTGTGCATTTTCTTCAAGACTTATAATACTTTTATGAACTTTCCGTCAATCCACCAAAGCATTTTAATTAATTGTTTCCGAAATTACAGATTTTTTACTATGCTATTCTTCTTGCACATTCAATATAAAACACTATGTATAATTACTAGAAAGAACTAAGGTTAGCCTTTTTACTAAGGGAGCCTAAAACATACATTTGAAATATATGTACATTAATCTGCTAAATTGTGTTTTTCTTCAGTATTCATTTCATGTTATAAATAGCTATTAGCTGGAAGTTTACCTTGTGAAAGGTTAATTTCTTATGTCCCAAAATAATTTTTATTTGGAGCAGTGTGCATTTTCTTCAAGACTTGTAATATTTTTGTAGACTTTCCATCAATGGACTGAGTCAGTTTTCTGTTTTTATCTTGGCTAGCCAAGTCACAGAAGGCTTAACTTGCTTGCTTATGTTCCCAAAGATTAAAAGTCTATTATTAAGAGTTTGAAGTTCATTTTTCACATACATATCGAGTACCTTCAGTGTTTAAAACATTCAGTATTATTTCTAAATATTATATTATTTCCATGTCAACTAATATATTTTAACTGTTTTCACAGGCTTGAATACATATTTGCCTGAGCCTGTACCATTGTATTCCATTAGTAAGTATTTTAGATTTCTTTAACATATTATGTCTTTAACATATTATGTCTTTAACATATTATGTTTATGCATATTTGTTTACATATTTGTTTTCAGGAACATATTTCAGGTCTTTTACATATTTGTTTTCAGGAACTGAATTAAAGTCACATTTGAATTTTTGATTTAATTTCTTCAAACATGATAAATATCAAGCTTATATCAATGTTACAAAAATTAGTATACATATATAGATAATCATCCATCATCTCAGGGAGCTTTTGATTACCCAGATCTCTAGTATAGTTTGTATGTGAGATGTTGCTATGTATTTCATTAATGCTGCACCTCACATACACACAATACTCAAGATCACTCATACAATTAGTGTTTGAGATTATGTATGATGCTGCTGCATGTGATTAAATAGTATACATGTAGATAATCATTCATCATCTCAGGGAGCTTTTGATTACCCATATCTCTAGTATTGTTTGTATGTGAAATGTAGCTATGTATTTCATTAATGCTATATCTCACATACACCATAATACTCAAGATCACTCATACAATTAGTGATAGTATGATGCTGCTGCATGTGATTAAATAAATTTGAATGAATCTGTGTTCATTTTAAGATAAATTTATACTGTAAACTTGATGTAAATGAATGTGAAAAGTGTAGTTATTTATAATATAGGATTATAGCAAATGAAGGAACTGCAGTAATATGGGCATTATAAATCTTAATCCTGAAGTTTGTAGTTTATTTCTGAGAGATGTATGATACACATTTACAAACACATTAAAACTTATTATGGCAAACATTTCCCAATCAGACAATCTTCTGTAGGCACACCTGTGGAAGAGACTAGTATTTTTTAGAATATAAATAAACATTGAATATCACCCCTCTAATGTGCTGAAAATGTTTAAGGCTACTAATTTCATGGCAGATCAAAGTTTTTTGGAATCATGGAAAGTTTTTTTTAGGATATATCACTGTATATTCATTTTAAGAATCTTTATACAAAATTTATGAAAAATCTATGAATGTGAGGTTCTGCATTTCCTTTATTAGATTGTTGAATTTTATTTCGAATTCTGTTTCACCATAAACATGGTGCCTGATATCTAAAACAGGTGAATGAGATTTATTTATCTGTCATATGCAGCCGTTTTCTTCAGTGCCACTGATTTCATGTTTGTATTTATTAGTTGCATGATATTTATCATCATTAATGTAATTAGTCCAAAAGAAACTCTTGCAGTCATTTTGCAAAAATACTTTATGTTGAAAAACAGGTACTCCCATATAGTGAGAGTGCCATTTCTTAAGAGCATGTTTTTGTACATGTCAGTGATATCATCAAACTTTGGAATCAATCCTACATAAGGATTGCATATTATGTATGATACCCAATAATTTAAATTTTACACATAAATGTAATGATATTAATTGCTCTTATATGTTTATTGGAATTGTCCTAGTAAATTTATGAAATATATTATATTATTTTACATAAAATCTAAGGTTCTGAAAATGTGTACATCGTACAGCTTTTGTAAAACAAAAATAGCAGATGATTAAGTTCTATAGGAAATACTTTGAATGTGTGTTTGGTCAAGTAGTAACAAGGCCTTTGCTTTGCAACTTATTAAAGAGTTAACTAGTTTTCAACTTATTAAAGAGTTAACTAGTTTAGTCTTTGATGATGCATTTTGGACTGGGTTTGATTAGACAAAAGTTATCTACAAAATCTTCAACCACAGTTCGAATCAAGAGAAGTCCCGTGGATTTTTTGCAGTCCAGTAGTTTTGCATCCTTTTCCCCATAATACGAGCTGCCTTAGAGGACTTGATTTTACGTGTTCCTGTTCTGCGTACCAGGGCTTTTTAACTGCAGAGGAAAATTTTCCATTTCAGATAGCAGTTTTTCAGCCTCTCGTTGTAGGTAAGAAATATAACAAGAATTTCTTGCCATAGAATTTGATGAAACATGGTTGAAAACACATGACAAAAAGGACAACGTATATGAAAATTTAAGCATTATATAAGAAGAAGCAGAATCAATTGAAAAATTTCTTTAATTATATCAGAGCCAATATAAGAAATTTCGGGATGCCTTGCAAGCTACGAGTTGGGGGCACCCTAAGAGGATCCCTTTTAATCTTATACTTTCCGTGGCATGATCAGACCTTTCCATAAATTATTATCACTAATCATTTTATTTTGAAAGTTTATTAGAAATTATGTAATATTTTTTGCTTGTGAATAGTTTTCAGAATAATAGAATACAAACATATTAAAAAACTGTAATGTAACACGTAATATTACGAAAGTGTATATATTAAAAAGCCTAGAAGTCTATATTAAAAAGCCTAGATGTCCAGCGTCTTTATTTCCCTAAACTCAAAATTGTGAAACATTTAAGAAGTCCTATGGAAATTTTAAAAATGTGTAAAAAATTAAGCTTACCTTAGTTTATTATATTTTATAGCACACTTCTTTTAATCCATTTTTGTTTTTACAATAAATACTATAATGCACACATTTACTTAAATAGTCAGTTTGATTCAAATTTAATTTTTTATCACATTTCATTTCATTCCTCTTACTTTCACAATATTGTCACATAAATCACATAATATATAATTTTTGTTTATAATATGTGATTTGATATTTTATATTGTTACGTTATTTTTCTTCCCTCACGTTCGTACGGGGTTCATAGATTTGAGTGAATAACGACGACACTTGATGAAGTATCGAAGCACACTTTATTTAGCCAATGTTAATCAGGACAGCTTCAAAGTCACTTTTTACAGTCGTTGAAGATCTACTATAAACACGCTGGAACAATCAGTGACACAGCCTTCAGGCTATCACGTTGAAGACAGCTTCACGGCAAAGCACTAGAGTACAGCTCCTGACTCTTCTCGGTTGTCTCGGAACTCTACGTACTCTCGAGATTCTCCACGTTACAACTCGCAGTGCACTCGACGATACACAAGAGTACAGCTATCGACTCGGTTCAATCGTTCCCGGAGCTCACCACACTCTAAGACAGAACTCGACGATGCCCTAACTCGCAATACACTAGACTCTCTTGGCACCAACTCGCAATACACTAGACTCTCTTGATGCACTTGACGACCAACTCGGCGCTAGACTTCGCATGGACTGACTAACTCGAGACACTCACTCAATGACTGACTGTTAGCTCGCTAGACGAGACACTAACTGACTGCGGACCAGCAGGTCCGCTTGCGTTCGAAAACATTCTGGGCTAAACTGGTAAGAATTCGTTCCAGAAGGATTTCCATCTGTCCATGGTATATCGCCTATTTTGTCGCTAAATAGGCGATTTCTCGCCAAATGGGTAATCCCGCATTTCCTTGCCATATTGTGGCAACCCTAAACCTGCTTTGCGGGGAAGCTATTTCACCGCGCATGTACATTTCATAACAATATTTTGATACTTTCTGATTTCTTTGTATGGAGAGCATTGTTTTACACATTTGCATAATTTTAATTCTCTTCCTACGTGGTATGCATCTCGGTACTGCTGTTTGTGTGCCATAGAAAATTTGGGCTTTTTTCTTTAGATGCTGTATAATTGCAAATTAGAAATGCTTTATTTTATGGATCTTACTGACGATTGTTAATTCCCAATGTGCAACAAAACAAATGTGAATTTTAATGAGTATGATTAGTATAAGAATTTTTATAAGGCAAAACGAATGAAAAAAAGCAAATGATAATAATTAAATTCATTGGGATATATCTATATATATGTACAGGCTATTGGCATTAATAAATAAAGAAAGCAAGTAAAGTTTATACAAGAACTGTGTTTTGAAGGTATTCAAAGCATGGGTCTTCCATGCAGGAAATTATGACGTTAGATACGAAAATAGTAATAATAAACGTTAGTCTAAAAACTTAAAGTCTGTAACACTTTAAAAGTTATCTTAGCATTTTAAAGTTTTAAAAATGTGAAATATAAAGTTTCATTGAAATAATCCACCGCTTGACATGAGATCTTAATTTTTTGGAGGGTTATTTTCATACGTTCTTATTTACATCATTTTACGTTCAGTAACATGAACATATTATATCTGGTTGTAACGAAAATTTTCCGCCAAAAAATGTTTTTATTATAGTTAGGAAAAAAAATGAAACCAGAACTTTTAGTGCGGGTAATAATCACCACCTGAATCTATGATTTTCTGCCAACGTTTTGGTAGTTTTTCAAGGTATTCGGCCCAGAAACTTGGTGGTTGTGAGTCTAAAAACAGATCAACCTCATTTTGGACTGTCTGTGCAGAATGGAAGAAAGCACCAGTAAGATGTAGCTGCAGGTAGCGAAAAAATGTAGAAGTCCGAAGAAGCGATGTTGGTGCTTATATGGTGGGTGTGGCAAAAGATCCAATTTGAATCCGTACAGAGTCCAGCCAGTGAATGCAGATACATGTGGTCTTACATTATCTTGATGGAACATTATCTTTTCGCGTCGGAACTCAGTTCAACATTTTCCCTTGATAGCAGCGTCAATACGGACTAGCATCTCGCTGTACACCTTACTGTCGAGCGTTTCACCTTTTTTCTGTATAACCTTTATGGATAATACCACGGCATTCCCCCACATGCAAAGCATGGTCTTTTTATTATTCAAATTGCGCTTTGCGACTCTGCCGATGGGCTCACCGGGTGCAGATCATCCCCTTTTCGGGTTATGTTGTTGAGTTGAAGCAAAACCATTTTTCATCACAAGTGACGATCCAGTCCACTCTCCCGACGGCCTCACCGGGTGCAGATCAACCCCCTTTTCGGGTTATGTTGTTGAAGTAAACCCATTTTTCATCACAAGTGATGATCCAGTCAAGAATTTTATCCTTGCGTTGATATTCGAGCAGATTAGTGCAGGCATCTGCTTGAATCAGCTCATGCGGCACTCAGCGATTGAATTTGTACGTTAAGTGCATGCGATGCATAGCGCGAGTAATGGACATAGCAT